AGGGAGATAGGGGGAGAGGGAGAGAAAGATAGAAAAAGATATAGAAGAGGATAGAAGGGGTGAATAAAGCCACAGGTTTGCAACTATAAGGAAGCATCTGTTAAACAACATAGCCCATAAGCAATGTGAAGCACCACGTTCTTCCTCTCCAACCTAAACTATAAAATCTAAAACCTAGCCCAGAAGTTATGAAGAAACCAAGTTCACTCCACAGGCAAGCCAAATAAAAACTATATGATCCAGCCAAAGGAAATGACACCATAGTAATTACAAAGTATTGCAAGGGTAGAGAATGGAATCCGCATCAACATGCTTAATAACTCCACCATGCTTAAAGAAAAAAAAATCAAATCTCCATGCCAAATACTGATGAGAAAGTGGAATAACATTTAAAAGAAAGTCTTCTCATTGTAGTGACGTATTTAACTATAAAAAGTTCATAGAAATAAAAGGAGATAAATACAGGGGATGAGAGACTTGGAGAAGAATCGATCAATCACCAGACAGGGGCTTCCAATACCGTAAAAAAAATCAATCAAGCACTTCTCAAACTACCAAAGTGTGGAAGCAACGGTTGGCAACAACAAACTTCAGTAGCCGTCCAAGCTACTCCATACTTGGCAGATGATAAAAAGCTTCAATTTGAACGACACAACGATTTTATTCATCCTTCACAAAAATAGTGGCGAACATGCTTCCGAGGATTTTGAATCTTATTTAATTTAACTCATCACAGCCACCAGAACCATCACTATACTGATAGAACATAAATAAATCAAGGGACAGTTACATACATACCACCCAATTTCTATACATTTACATTTCTAACACAAAAACTTTACTTTTTTACTTTTGCACAAGCCAAATCATTCATATCACATAAAAAATATTAGTTATGATAATCAATAGCTGGTTAAAAAGCTTTTGAATTCATGATATATATTACATATATTAAATTGAATATCAAGTCTATAACTCTGTAAGCACAATTTACGCTTTACATATTTATGTAGTTTGACATTGCTCCAGTGTTTAAGCAAGTAGCAAATCCAAAGAAGGAAAAAAAAAACAAATAAAGCTAAACAAAGAATTATGTGCAATGATATTCCAACTGCATCACTTAGGTTTGCAGGACGTTGATTTCATCCAAGACCACAAAGAAGCTAGCCTGTGTGTGTGTGAAACCAAAATTACATTCATTGATTCTATTGGAGCTTTTGAACAATTGACTGACATTAAAAAAAATGGCTTCACATGAATATATATATATATATATATATTGTTAGTCTAATAAAACACAATTATGCTTGCACGCATAACATAAAAAAGCCCTCTGGAAACCCTAAAGGTACCTATTTGTATACAAAAGGCTCCATAGACCCTTCTATACCCTAAATAAGATGGATATTACTACGCCAGGGGAATGACAATTGAAGGGAATGAAATTACAAATAGAATGTAGTCAGTCATTGGAAACAGCATATGAGCAAACAGGAACAGCCTATGAACCACTTAAATCCACAATGGATTAATATCTTCAATTTAATTTACCTTGGTGATAAATGATTACCAAATTTCTTCCCAGTTCAATGAAAATGGATGGCGATTTGGATGCCACTTCAACAATGTGTTTCTTGTCAAAGAAACAAATAAACCATAGAAAGAAGAGGATTAATCTAATGCGTTTAACTTGTCAATTACTCTAAAGCAAAAGAACAAGAAACACAACCAGTTAAAAAGAAAAAAAAAGAGCAGTTTGGATGCCGCTTCAACAACAGCAATTTGGTTGGTAACTGTAATAAGTTGCTTAATAAGTTTTATGAGTCAGTTTATAGGTAGTTATGAGTACCAAGTACTTTGTAGAGTCATAAAAACACACAGACGCACGGCGCCCACAAATATATATATGAAAACTTGTATGAAATCAATCAAATGAAACAAAAACCCCCCTTTTGCTATGTTCTTCATCCTCCCCATTCACCCAGCCCAGCATTTTCTTGGAGTTTCCAGCAAGCTCGAAATTGCCATTTATCCCTACGATCCTTCTAGCGTCATAAGAAATGATACTCTAGTTGAGAAACTAGCCCTTAGGTGCTCTTTATGTCTTCACCGAATTTGCCATATTTGCAACCCATTTGAACCAACAACACCAATCCATCTCAGAAAATCAAAATTTTCATCACTTGGTCATTTCCACAATACACAATGATTCCTACGTCCATTTTCCACATTGCTTCTTCTGTTGCATCATAATCATGATCCCGCCAAACCCATTATCTGGATTCTCATCTCTCGCACCTCATCCAGTCCCCACTCTTGGAAAACAACAACTCTAGTGACCAAATCAAGAGACTTACCTCAAAGCTAACTTCCCTGCGTCACAACATACATTTGTACTGCTGTTATTCTCTAATCATTTTAATGAAACTAGCTTTGCCGAAGAAGTAGATGCCGAAGAAGGAAGAGGAGACGTCGAGGAAGAAGAGGGAAGGGCTCTACCTGTCGAGAGAATGATTGTCGAAGAGAGAGGAACGGCTAGGGCACGGGAGTAATGAGGGCAGGAAGATGCGCGCGATAACTAGGGCATGGGAGTAATAATGCGAACGAAAATGCGGCCCGCAGGATGACCCCCGTGGGTCGCGTGTTTCACAAATATAAAATCATTTTTTTTGGTAAGTTGTTGAAACGAGCAAACCAAACGGTAAGACGGTGTTTTCAAAACGCCGCCCGCACTATAAGTTGCCCCAAACAGGCCCTTAGATGGCTCTTAACTCCATTGACGATGGCAAAGCAGTAAGCCCAGATGGCTACACTGCAGATTTCTATAAAAAGATGTGAAGGGACTGTGAAAAGGAGGTAGTTCTAGCGGTACAAAGCTTCTTTTTAGGGGTAGATCTCCCCAAATATTTTACAACAACAACCATTACCTTAATCCCCAAAGGTGAAGCCAAGGATATATGGGACCAATTCAGACCAATCTGCCTCACTAATATCATCTCCAAAGTGATTAGCAAAGTAATTTTTACAAGGTTACAAACTTATTTACCTGACCTTATTGCCCCAAATCAAGTTGCATTTACTAAAGACAAATATTACAAATAACATTCTTCTAGCCTAAGAATTGCTAGCTGACATTAATAAGCCTTGCATGGGAGGGAATTTGGCCATCAAGTTAGATCTGAGGAAGGCATATGATACCATAAGCTGGAGAGTTTACTATAGATGTGTTGAGAGCCAGGGGATTGCCTCTTAATTTCTGCAATTTGATTGAACGATGGCTAGGAAGTAGTTCTACACAATTCTTCTCAATGTAAAGACTCACAGTTTATTCAAGTCTAGAATGGGTATCAAGCAAAGTGACCTCTTATCTCCAACTATCTTCATCTTGGCATTTGATTACTTATCAATAATGTTAATACAGGCTCAACATATGCACATCCACACAAGGTACAGGAACAGGTCCAAAATGTATATTAGCCATCTTGCATAAGCAGATGATGCTATAATTTTCACTGATGCTACTAAAAAGACCGCGAAGATAATGCATAAAAATTTAATTAATTTCAAGAAGGTATCAGGCATGCAATTCAATAAGCAAAAGTGTCAAATGATTTGTGGTAACAGAGTGAAGAATAGCACCAGGAGGTGGTTAAGGGAACACACTAGCTTCAAGAAAGTTGATCTCCCTCTGAATTACTTGGGTAAAACTTATAAAGGGAAGAGAAAAACAAACTCGGTTTGATGAGGTGGACAGGGTACATAAGCAACTTAACTGTTGTACCACACATTTCCTATCTAATAAGGGTAGGGTCATGTTATTGAAAAGCTTCCTTACCTACTTTCCACTCTGTATAAAGCAAATGCTGAAAATGAAAAAAAAGTATACAAAGCTTACTTGAAAAAACCTTCAACAAGTTTCTCTAAGCAGGACAGAAAAAACAAATGCACTGGACCAATTGGAAAAAAGTTTGTAAACCACTATCAGCTGGTGGATTGGGCTTCAAGGACCTTCAGCACCTACATCATATCAATTCCTACAGACTGTGAATTAAAATTAGAGAACATGATTCCTTATGGTCGGAATATATGCATAAAAAATACTGCAGAGAATTACATCCCACAATGGTACAGAGGAAAATGGGCGACTCCAAAACTTGGGTCAGCATTATTTACTTTCATGGTTTGTCCTATTTCTAGTGGATTACTTCTATTTCTAAAATTCCAACACTAGGAAAGCTTTCATTTAACAGAAATTTGTTTTATCTTTGAAGAATTATAAACGGTATCTTGAACAAAATTGTCTCTTCTGCTTTCATTCTTCAAAATTTGAACTCTATAGATTCAACTATGCTTCCAAAACCAGAGGTTGTCCCAGGTTTATTTAAATGTCAAAACAAAACAACAGCATAAGTTTAATAAAAAGAACTAGTACGGTAAAACAAAGAAAATTTAAAGAATGCGAAAAAAAAGAGTTTGCAGAAAAATATCCAGCGCAGGAAAGAGCAATCGTCGGGATAAATTTTGGCTGACATTTCCACTGCATAAAAATGGCATGCTTCTACAGAATTAAATTTTGCAAGAAATTCCCAAAGTATGAAGCAAAATTTAATCAAATTGATGACCAAGCTGCCTATGATTCCAAAAGCTACCTATGATTCCTAAAAAGAACTAAGCAGGAATTGCAAAATTAAAAAATATATAGCGTTAAGTCATTTATTTTTAATGTCAATAATATCCAACTAGTAAATAGTGCCATTAATCACAGACAGCAAAAGGAAAACTAATTAAACAAGACAAAAACATATTTTGTATGCACATTCCAAGCATCTTATACATAGCCACTTTCACTATATTAAATCTGGAAGAAAGCGTACAGGGAGCAATGTCCTCGTTCAATATAGGTCAGTCCAATCGTCTCTTCATCATGCTCTTATACTCATCGTTCCCAATCTCTTCATGCTATATGGTCTCTCATACCGTAGTAACCACAGTAACACTCGCAGCTTCTCAACTTGACGAACCACCAACTCTACAGAGTGATCTATCTCTGCTTCGGTTGTAAACCTCCCAATGCCAAATCTTATTGAAGTGTGAGCCATATCCTCATCTACTCCAAGTGCTCTCAACACATAAGAAGGCTCAAGGCTAGCGCTGGTACAAGCACTCCCACTAGAAACTGCCACCTCTTTCAGTCCCATAAGCAGGCTTTCACCTTCAACATAAGCAAAAGAAAGGTTCAAATTTCCAGAATAACGATTCTCGATGCTACCATTCACCACCACTCCATCCAGCTTCTCCCTGATCCCTTTAAGTAGCCTCTCCTGCAACGCTGCAATCCTGCGGCCATCATACTCCATCTCCTTCATGGCAATCTCGCAGGCCTTCCCAAAACCAACTACAAGCGGCGTAGGCACAGTGCCGCTGCGGACGCCACGCTCCTGACCACCGCCATTCATCTGAGGTTCCACTCGGATTCTCGGACGCCGCCGGAGGTAAAGTGCACCAACACCCTTCGGACCATAAATTTTGTGCCCGCTTAGCGACATCAGGCCTATCCCCATCCTTTCAACGTCGATAGGGATCTTACCTAGAGCTTGAGCAGCATCGGTGTGGAAGGGGACGCCCTTCTCCTTACAGATCCTTCCGATCTCCTCAAGTGGTTGCACAACGCCGATCTCGTTATTGACTGCCATGACGGAGACGAGTCCAGTGTCAGGGCGGATTGCCGAGGCAAGCTGGTCAAGATTGATGAGGCCGTCAGGACGGACGGGGAGGTACGAAACTTCGAAGCCCTCCTGCTGTAGGTAGCGACAGGAGTCGAGGACGCACTTGTGCTCTGTCTGGGTGGTAACGATGTGTCGTTTCTTTTCTCTATAGAAGTGCATGACGCCTTTAACGGAGATGTTGTTGGACTCGGTGGCTCCGGATGTGAAAAAAATTTCCTTAGGGTTGGCGCCGACGAGAGCTGCGACCTGCGAGCGGGCGGATTCGACGGCCTCGTCTGATTCTGATTCCCAACCGTATAGGTGGGTGCGGGAATGAGGGTTTCCAAAGCTGGAAAGGTAGAAGGGGAGCATGGCGTCGACGACGCGGGGATCTACGGGGGTGGTGGCCTGCATATCGAGGTAGAGAGGGCGGCCGGAGATGCGAACTCCCTTCATGGAGATGATACCATCCTCCTCAGAGTCTGCAGAGTTGGTGAAAGGAGGGGAAAGTTCGACGGAGGCAAGTGAAGCAGCAAAAGACGATGAGAGAGGGCGATATGAGAGGATCAGGCGGCGGGAGAGGCCGGTTGCGGTGGCAAGGTGCTTGAGGAGCATGGCCGCTGAAGTAATCGGACTTGGGCCTGTTTGGTAGCAAGATTTGAGTAGGATTCACGCAGGATTTGACCTAAATCCTGCAAAAAAAAAGATGAAACGTTCCAAAAAAGCTCAAACCGCGATTCGATTGGGCGAACCGAAAGAGTGAAGCAGCAAGGCCGGCGGTGAGGTCCGGGCCGAGAGGATGTCGCGCGGGGAGGGGCCGGCTTGGACGCGTGAGGAGTCGACTAGGGCATTTTGGCGAGGGAAGGGGGCGGTGGGCTCATTGGCGTCTGGTCGTCGCCGGCGGTAAAGCAACCCCGGTGCCGGTAAGAAGCGTTAGGCAAGGGGAGGGGGTATTGGGGGAGCGGGAGGGCAGCGACGACTTAAATATTATTTGTGCTCCACCCAATCACTTCATCCAATAATGTGACATCCAATAATGTGACGCCCTTGGTCACGGATCAGCTCCACCGAAGGTCTCACACAACTAGCAGGCAGTAGTCTGCTCTGATACCACTTGTCACCTCTCAAAAGAGTCTTTATGGGTGATGGGCAGCCCAGGACTTAAATACTGCTTTTCGGCTCTACACATAGCCGATGTGGGACTATTTGTCCGTGACGGGCTGCTTCGCAATTTAGGGAGGCGCTCTCTGCGAAAAAAAAATATTTTAGTAAATTCTTTGTGTTACCTTTTTCCCTTTTTTTTAAAATTAATTTTATAATTTTTAATATTTAAAAACCTCACTTTTCGCGTTGGTGGCTTGTGTGCGAAATTAGAGCTGGCTTGTGCATGAAATTATAGCAAAATGGATATCTGTTCAGGTAATTTTGACATTGTGGATGTGTTCTTGAAGTTCATTATGTCATCTGAGATTACCTTGACAAGTTAGTTAATAAGCGAGCTAATTTGAGCCACTTTCGCTCGCGGCTCGGCGAATGAGACATGCTGACCTGGTCAAAGTCTCAAACAAATAAATATGTCGACCGGAGTTTGCCTGAGTGACGACCGAAGTCTAACTGAACAATCTCGACTATGTACCCCTCAACAGACACCGAAGTGTCTCAAATGGATGTCATTCACTACAGTAATCAACACATGCATCAAACAATGTCTCGTATCGCTCGAGCGGATATCCTACACTTGTGACATCAAAAATTGATGCCAATAAGGACAACTTGGATCTTGAGTTGCTTCTCTAGCAGCCTTACTTTCTTTGGAAACCAAATCTCCAAATTAAATTATTAAAAGGAAGAATTTACATACAAACTACCCAAATCCTGTGCATTTACATATCTAAAGGTAGGGCTGTCAATTTGGCTCGTGGTTCGCGAACAACTCGTGTTCGGCTCGTTTTAAGCTCGAAATGTAAACGAGTCGAACACAAATAGTTAATTTAATTTTTCTAACTAAATATATTTTCACATTTTATTAAATCAAATTCTATAAATTATAATATATAATAATTTATTACTAATAATATTTCAATATTAATTATATAAAACAGTGTTAAAAAAATTAAATAAATAAAATATTTTAAAATATATATAACCCTACTGAAAAAACCCTAACCAGCTTCCCATTCGTCTCTCAAAACTTCTCTCGTTCATTCGGCGCCCTCTCCCTCTCTCTCTTCCGAGTTGCAACTATACTTCTCCGACGGCCGCGACAGCTTAAGGCTTGTCGTATATGCTCTTCGTCTATGCTATGCTCTTCTATCTAATCTCTACTTCTCCTTCTCGGCACTGTTGGCTCGATTGATTGGTATTCTTGCTTGTTTGCTCGATAGTCTTGCACGGCTGTTGTTTTTGTTTGTTCGATAGTCTTGCACGGTTGCTTGTTTGGAGACCTAGGTGTTATCTTTGAGTATTTTTTCAGTAAAATTTCATATTTCATATTTAGTATGCCTCTTGTCTTAAACTTTCTTAAATTTCTTTTAGATTTATGCAAATTTTTTAGTGATCTTAGGGCTTTTAGAGTGATCTTAGGGCTTGGCTTGTAGAAGATTTATTTAGATTTAGTGGTTTTTTCATTATACTGTTAGATTTATTTAGATTTATTTAGATTTTCATTATAAAATTAGGGTTTTTGGATTAAGTGAGGTCAACACATTTAGATTTATCCGTATGTAAATCTGATTTAGTGGTTTCTTCGTTATAGTGTTTAGATTTATATTTAGTACCTACATGATATTCCTTAAAGGGTTTTGATGTGGTATGGAATCATCTGTCTTTATGGAATCACCAATTGGCTAATATTTAGTATCTACTTTCTTTTTTTTATGCATTATATTATGCTACTGTTGTAGGCTTTAGTGATTCAGTATGCTAATCTTGGGTATGCATGAGGAATGAGCTGTCATTCTTCGAGTAGAAATGGTTGTTCTAGACATGTGATACAGACATGTGATACATAACAAAAGAATTGACTGGTATGTGTGTAAATTTGCAAAAAAATAGAATATTTGTGGCCGCAGAATTGAAAGGAAAATATGTGATATTGTGTTGAAAATATGTTAGGAAAATCTACATTTGGTTCAATATGTATTCTTATATCTCAAACATGAGCTTCAGTTTTCTCATATATACTAGCTTACTTATTTCTCAAAGACAAAAATGCGTCTCTGCATGTGTTGATACTATATAAGAATTGTTCAAAAATACAATTTTGTTGGTTTGGGAAAGATTTGAAAGCTTTTGTGACTTGCTGTTTTGACTCTTGTTTTGCATAAGTTGAGAAATGACTATATGATGCTCTCCAATAGTTATAAGTTGAGAAATGACTATTTGTATAAGATATATAAGAATTGTTCAAAATTACAATTTTGTTGGTTTGGGGAAGATTTGAAAGCTCTTGTGACTTGCTGTTTTGACTCTTGATGTGTATAAGTTTAGAAATGACTACTTGATGCTCGACTATTGTGTTGTGATGTAGCATAAGTTGAGAATGACTACTTGATGTGGCATAAGTTTGCCATTGTGTGGTGAATCATTATGTGGTTCGGCCATTGTTTCTAGATCAGAATTGTTGGGACTGCTTTATAAAGTATAAATTATAAATTACAATGGTAGACATATCATAATGGAGACATATCATAATGATTAATGAGAAACATTACATATTCAGTGGTGGTTCGGCTATTGCTTCTAGATCAGAATTTTTTTGTGAAGAATATTATGTTTCTTTCCTTTAGCTTTTCAAAACAATAACATTTGTTTTCCAAGTGTTATGGAAGATGAATATTTGAGTTTATAAGCAAGAAAATGAATGCTAAATTCTTGCTTATCAATTTTATAAATACTTGAGTTCAAGTTATGTTTATAGTTCAACATCGTATATGAATACTTGAGTTCAAGTTATGTAGATCAGCCTTGAGTTCATGTTTTGTAAATACTTGAGCATGTTACGTATATAAATACTTGAGTTCAATTTTATGAATACTTGAGTTCAAGTTATCTAATCTCTACTTCTCCTTATCGGCACTGTTGACTTCTGTTGAAATTAGGGCTTTTGGATTAAGTGAGGTCAACACATTTAGATTTATGTGTATGCATTACTTCTCCTCCGGCATTGTTACTTTCTTTATTGGCTTTTGGATTAAGTGAGGGCTTTTGGATTAAGTTATCTAATTTCTTATGCATTATATTCGGTTACTGTTGTAGGCTTTAGTGATTCAGTATGCTAATCTTGGGTATAATGAATGAGCTGCCATTCTTTGACTATAAATGGTATGCATGGGGAAGAGTTGAAAGCTCTTGTGACTTGCTGTTTTGACTCTTATTGTGCATAAATTGAGAAATGACTACCTGATACTCTCCAATAATTATAAGTTGAGAAATGACTACCTGTTTTGTCTCTTTATGTGTCAACCACTCTTTTTTCTGGGCTATTTTAATGACTAGCATTGTTATTGTTTTAAAGATGAACTTCCAGTTGATGTATATTTGAAATGTGTTTTTATGTTTGTTGACCTCACTTTTGGTTGAGGTCTAGAAAACTTCTTTAGTAGCCTAGGTCTAGCCATAGGACTTTCCTATTGACTAGTCTTAGAAAATTAGAAGAGGTACCCCACCATTAGAAATTCAAA